GAGGGACCCCTCTCACCCATATTTCCTCCTCCTAAGACCAAGGATGTGTGGTCCCACTTGGGGATCTTCCAGAGGAGGATTCGAGTTTCCCAGGAGATCTCAGCTTGTCATTGTGTTAGTCCTGATCTAGAAACACAGGAAAAGGAGAGAGGGGGGACTTGTTTCCCCCGAAAAACCATCTCCCTCTCCCACCTCCCCTGTGCTGTCAAAGGAACCATAATTCCTTGCTTTTACCAAACTCAAAACCCTGAATCGTCTGCGCCTTGGTAGCATGGACAGCTGTCAGTGGGAGAAGAGAACTGGACTTTACAGAGGCGAACTGGGTGCCCACCCAGCTAGGCAGTCCTAGCAGTTTTGGTGAAGTGTTCTAAGCCCCCATTTTGCAGATGAGAAAACTAAGATTCGTGAAGTTTCAGTAATGGGCCTCAAGTCACACAGCTTATTCGCAGTGGAACTGGTGCTAAGGCCCGTGCTGTGGGGCTCAACCAGCTGTGCCTCTCCTGTTGTACCCTGCTGACCCTGGCCTTCAACCATCAGTTCTGCATGCTTCTGCTTCTGGTAGCGGAAAAGGTCAGAGGTAACATTGGAACCCACGCCTGGCTAACTCGGCAGTCATGCACATTCATCAGACTTTTTTTTGAGTAATGGCTTGTTACCACAGTAAAAATGACATCATCCCCGCCTCAAGGAGCCCAGAGCCAGAGAGAGACATGGGAAATTAGACCCAGCATGACAGCACGCTGCGCGGAAGTAAGAGAAACAGTGTGGTCCGGAGCAGGCACGCAGCCTGGGGCAGCTGGGAGGTGGCGACCGGGGGGTGGTGCCTTCTCAGTGGAGACTTGAAGGAATCGCAGGACTTGGATGAAGGTGAGGGCGCTGGTGAGGACTCTACATGCTCCTTCTAAGAGAACGAACCATTTATAATAAATATAACCGCTTCTTACCTCATGTTCTTTCCTCCCATTGATTCCTTAGTGTTCTTTTTGCATACAAACTCATTTGAATGCTTCTCTTACCTCTAATTGCACACTCTGACTTAACTGATTATGTATTAAGCTGGCGACTTGGGGCGACATTCAGGCCTGGGCTCATGTTGAGATTAATTTATTCCTGTAGTCCTACTGTTCTGTGGCACATCCAAGTGCCTCACATGTGTGTTAAAAATAAATCCAGGAGTCGGGCAATCTAATTAGATGGCTTAACCCAGTGCTCTGCTGTTCAGTCTTCACCACACTCTCCTGCTTTGACGGTAACCAACACAGATGAAGAAGTTAATCAAAGGTCTGATGAAATAGCCTGGCTGCAGCGTGGCCTGGTGATTGCCAAGCTTCAGTTCAGGCGCATTCTCAGGGGAGAGAAGAAACCCAGCTGAGCTCCAAAGGCTGGGGCTTTCAGGAGGCAGAGTTTTATCAAGTCTGCTGGAGGGAAGCACTCGCAGAGTCCCCAGGCCTCAAATGGCTGGCCGGTCAGGAGGCTGGCTCCAAAGGAAGAAGAACGTGGTGTGGAGAAGGAATGCAAACCTCCTTCCGACAGATTCCACCTGTAACTTTGCATCTTGCTTGCTGTGGGTTGTAGACAAATCACTCACCCTCTTGTGCCTTCTGTTCATCTGTCTGTCTGTTGGTCCACCCATCCATCCCCCCACCCACCCATGCGACAGATACGCATTTTGTATCTGTTATGTAGAAAGCGTGATGCGTTGATCTTGCCATGGTTTGATTAATGTAATGACCGTGCTAGTTGTGGTAGGTTAGCCTCACTCTCTTCCCTTCTCCACCTGCTTTGTGCTCCATGAGGCTGGTGCATAATAAGGGTCAAATGTCTGAGCTCTTTGGGTTTGTCTGGTAAGAGGGGAGGGGAGGCTGAGATCTCTTGCCCTGTTCTATCCTGTGGGATTGTCACAGGTAGCCCGTGTTCCTCTGCCGAAGGTCACCACTCCTCTCAGGTAGCTTATTCATACAGCTTTCTCTCTGGATTCCAGCAGCTGCTGAAATTGGCCCTTCAGGCCTTGGGTGCTAAGAGCCCCCTGCTGTTCCCCTCCCTGGGTGGTGCTCAGTCCTTGTTAGGCCCCTAAGCTCTGTATGCATGTCACTTTGTTGTGATGTGTAACTCAGGTTGTCCAGTGTGACGTGTACTGTTTCTGCCCACACCCTGCCTGATACAGTATAGTCAGTGCTTAGAAGTAACTGCCTTTGATAAATGGCAGAAGCTCAGAAGCCAAACAGTCTTGTCCAAGTTGACATTGTGATGAAGTGACAAGGCCAAAATCTGATCCAGGTGTGCCTGCCTTTAGGACTCAAGGTTTCATGAATACGGTCTTCCGGAGGCCCCACCTTCAATGGGAAGCAGTTAAAAAGATGTGGCTACCTCCATAACCTGAAATGAGGAGAGGAAGTCAGGCAGAAGTTTGAGGCTTAGAGTCACTGAGGGTCGTTTATGTACCAAGCACTCGAGTCCTTTAACCTCCCTTAAATTCTACATCAACCATGTGATGGAGGCTGCATCTCCACTTTATAGGTGAAGAAACTGAGGCTTAGAGAGATCAGCATCTTTTAAGGGGTTGGAGTCCATAGTTCACCTTTTGTCTCTTCTTTCCCTTCTCCATGCCACTTAGGTGCAAGGTGACAGGGACTACAGACATAGTGTTCAAGATCGTTTTTCCTGATACTGACACATGATAAACAGTTCAGTCCATCAGTTTATGGCGTTTTTTTTTCTGGTCAAAATTATACTCGTTTATGCAAAGGACCATTGCAAAACTGAGAATAAGGAGTAGTCAAAATGATATTTTCAAATAAACTGAAGGTGAAGTCATCATATGGAGTAGGTTCGAGAGATGCAATGGGTCCAAGGAGTTGTCATAGTGGATCCTTTCTCAGAGCTTTCCTAAATCAGCTGCCACGTTCCTACCATTGCCTCATCTTGGTACACTTAAAAAAGACTGTCATGCTTGGTTTGTTTGTTTGTTTACAGAAGTATTAGTTGTTGCTTTTAAAAAGCTGAAAAATAAAGATTAGTTAATTCCCAAAAGTATCCAGCCACGTATGAAAAAGAGACATTTGTTGAAGGTACAAGAAACATTATACATAGGACAATGATATCTCAGGCCCCTTCAAAGAAGGCACCTTGGGACCTCACACAGTTCTCCCAGTTGCCATCTGCTGCCCCATCGTATGTTCCTGAATCTTACAGATGGTCTGAAATTTTGTCCCTTTCAAAGGTGATTTTAGTCTTGGAAAAAGCCGGAAGTCGCAGGGTGCCAAATCTGGGCTGTAGGGGGGCTGAGTCACCTGGACAATTTGATGTTTGGCAAAAAAACTCTGCATGAGATGTGATGCATGAGTGAGCACATTGTCGTGAGGAAGATGGCAATCATCCGTTGTCCATAGGTGTGGCCTTCTGAATCATCCCAGGAGTTTCTGCAGAGGAATGTTGAAGCTCAACACAAAATTTGATGGAGATTTGTTGCTGTTCTCATTCAGTTATTTTGAATGTAATGGCCTCACAATACACATACGTACTCAGTGGTGTCTACTGTCCCTACTGACTAGTACAGTGAAGTCATCTTTGTTCACATGTGTATTCCAGTCCACTCTTGGCCATCGATATTGTACCAGCCATTCTCATATTAACAGTTGGACTTTTTCTGGACAGACCTCATATCTATCTATCTATCTATCTATCTATCTATCTATCTATCTATCTGCCTGCCTACCTACCTACCTATCTCTCTACCTACCTACCTATCTACTTGCCTACCTGATTATCACATATCGTACCAAAATAATCACCATTAGTAATTTGATGTCATGCTCTGTTTTTCTTTTCTCTTCATAAATTTGTGTGGTTATGTTTTCATGTTGTTTGATTATACATAGAAGTTATTAAGCAAAAGTCATTTCAAAACTTGCTTTTTTTCCTTTTAACATAATATGCAAATTACCTTTTAGTACACCTTAATCTACATTGTAGATTGTATACTATGCTGCCAGTTTTTCGTTTTTAAGTTTGATTCCATTTTTTTTAAAACAAGTGTCCTCACAATGGAATTATAAGGACAGAATGGATGAATATTTTGTGGACTCTTGAAAAGGTGGCCACATTTTTCCTTAAAGAGCTGCAAAACCAGTGTTAATGTCACGGAAATCAGAAGTGTGCTCGGCTTCCACGCAGACTCCTCACGGCAGCAAGGGTGGGCCCCACCCGGAGTGACCTTCATATGTAACTGTGTCTTGGAAAGATTTCATCACTCTGGTGTTATGTATTATTTTTAGCCTTGACTTTGGGTACTAGGTGGTACCAGTGTGTGTGACTTGCCTTCAGCTCTCCTCCCTTGTAGGGCATTGGTTGTTACAGCACCTGAGGATTCCAGGGGTGGCCCTCTGTGGGCCCACTGGGCGCACGCACGTGGGTGTGTCTGTGTCTTGTTACCCAGTTAAGGGTGTTACATAGATAATGACCAGCTTCTCCCTATGTGTTTATATGAGAGCCAGAAAAAGGCAGCAGCACTAATTGGTTTAATTACCGCTTTAAAAAATAGATGCGCATACGCTTTAATAATACCACTAAGTAATAATCTTTAATGATTGAAAGAAATGCACCTACCTAGGAAAATACTAGGTATTTGCAAAAAATATATGTCATCTGGTTCAATTCTTGTGCTTTTCTTTTGTGTGTATTCTTATATTCTCCAGCAAGCTTATATAATTTCTGTAATAACAGAAATGTTATTTTGAAAACCTGAGCATAGTGTTTACATGTAATAGTTATTATATAAACATTGCTTTTCCTCTCCCTTGATTCTGATACATTTTCTTTCCAAAAAAAAACTTCCCATGCCAAATTGCAAATTACATGAGCAAGTCTTTAAGAAAATATTCCTTCATTTATTCAAATTTTTATTGAATACTTCTCCTGTACGAGGAGCTATTTATGATGTTTATGCACAAATTAATGTAGTGATTTTTTTTTTTCTTTCCCTGCCTCCCTGCCCTGTGTAGTCTGAAGTTTCCTGGATCCCCAACAAGCACTACTCTGGGATCTACGGGCTGATGAAGCTCGTCCTGACAAAGACCCTTCCCGCCAACCTGGAGCGGGTCATTGTGCTCGACACAGACATCACCTTCGCAACCGACATTGCAGAGCTCTGGGCTGTATTCCACAAGTTCAAAGGTAAGGGGAGGCCATTTTTTTCTGGTGTCTTTGAAGGCATCGTCATGCCAAGAGTTGTAATTGGACTTTTAAAAAATGTGAGGCAAACTCTAAATGAGGTCAAGGTAATGAAACGGATAAGGAATTAAAAATACAATTGGATACCAATTCTGTTGGCCTTTGAAAAACGTGAAGCTGGAATTTGCATTTCTTCAGTAAATGAAGAGGTAAGGTCTGCGTTCTCAGAAAGAACCCAATTTTGGTTGCTTTGGAAGAGATAAGTATCAAATGTGTATATTTGCATGCAGATAATTGAGTGTTGACTCGCGTAGAGACACATTTATCGGGCTTCTCTTTTTATCAAATGATACTGTGATTAAAGAGAGAGCCTGTGAGGTGGTGGAGATAAGTATTGATTATAGTATGCTTGGAAATGTTCTTATGGCTTTTACTTTCATTCACGTCATGGTTTATTATTTTGAAGGGGCATGTATGTTCAGCTTTACTAGAGGTTCCTTGTATTCTGGTTTGCTGCTGCTTAGCTGTAATGTAGCTCTTGCCACTGCCTCGAGGTATGTCAGAGTCTCGGCGGGAAACTGAGCACCAAGGTGTGCTTAACCCTGAGAGCAGCGGCAAGTTAGCATAAATCTCAGGCTGTTACTGTAACACCCTGCTCCCAGGGGTCGTCCTTAGATTGCCATATTTTAAAAATTCTTCTATATTTTAGATAAATACAACGAGAAGTTTGGCGATGAGATTTTTTATTCTTTATTTTTCAACTTTCTTTTTTATAGTGCACTCTGGCTTCTGGGTTTAAAATTCTTCTTACCTCTTCTATAACTCTGTATCCTGTGAAGGTGAGATACCACTTAGTGATTTTAAATGACAGCATTTTCATAAATCACAGGCTATTCCAGTTGGTCTGTTTCTATTCTCAGAAAGGAGAATAAATTCCTCACCCACACTGGTGTCCGCCTGCTCCCTTCCTGGAGCCTCTTAGGTCAGGGCCAATTGAAAAAAGTCCTCAGCCTGTCAAATGGGAGACACTGTAACCCTCAGACTCTTTTCCTTATGAAGATCAAAACTTACTTTCTTTACCTATGTCAGGACTGACCCTAATAAAAATGTCATGTAGCAAAAGCGCTGAAACTGAGTGTGCCTCAGCTTTCTGGTCTCTCTTTCCTGGAAGGCTTGGAACTGTCCATTTTGCACCCAAAGTGAAGCTTGGCGCGATGCGCGCTTGTGCCGCATTGAGACCAGAACGCATGTGCGTTGTCTTCAGTATGTGTTTCTTTTCAAGTTCCCTGATCGTTTCTGCGTGTTTTCCAGATCTCATCGAACTCACTGAGGGCATTTATTTTAATAATTAGGTAGTATTTTATTCATATCTTTATGCCAATATTCAGTGATGTGTTTATTCAGAAGGCACTTCCTGCGTCCCTGCTAGGTGTCAGGCAGGGCACTGGGCTCTGGAAATAAGGGGGTGAACAATGAAGGGGAGCGAGAATGACCGCCTCTCCCAAAGGGGGTCAGAGGAGGCAGCCGGGAGGGCATCAAGGAAGAGGTGACCGGCGTTGTAGTCTGTGCTGCCAGATAGGAGGCGTGATCGTGCACAGTGGATGCCTGTGTTTTCCTTTGGGAATAAAGGACTTACCACTGGGGGGCTGAGAGTGCTGTCTGCAGATGGCCCGCAGCTGTTGGCCTTGTTTGCAGGGGGCGGGTGGGGGTGGGGTCCTCAGGTGAGAAGAGTCACCTTCCCATGGCTCCGCCTCCTTCCTGGGACACTGCATGTCACACATTGATTGAAGAATGGAGAGTTTTTGGAATCAGCTGTTGCGCTCCCTTGGGGACTGCCTTGCAACCGGGTTTCTCCCTCTGCCCTGTCCCGCCTTCGCCCCTTGGCCTTCACAGGTGCTGTTCCCAAGGGCTGTCCCTACACTAACCTCTTGCGTGCTAACTGCCGTATCAGCGTGGGCTCCCCGGGAAAGGCCCCCTGCAGTCTGCATTTGCAGCTACTGCTCTCCCTTGGACAGTAAGTGAACTCACTGGAACAGGTGATGTAATTTTACTAATTATAGCTAAGAAAGCATGTTTATTCTGGCCCAGCGAGGGCCTGCCATGGAGCAAGTGGCCACCAATGACAATGCTCACATAATCATGGCATTGAGTCCCCAATATCGTCTGTGGAGGGAGAGGCTCCCAAGGCTCTTGCTGCTCCCTGGGCTGGTCCAGGGATTTGTATTTGGTGGGCTCTGCAATTCAAGGCCATTCCTGGGGCAGAACAGAGCGTGTAGGCCAAGGTCAGGACAGGGACGGGCTGCGTTTTATTTGTTCATTCTTTCACAGATTTATTTCTAGCATTTGTTAGACCCCCACTGTGCACAGGAATATATCCGATGGTGCTGTTACCTAAAACTGTCGAAAACGTGGCACCTGCCTTCCAGGAGCTCACGAACAAGGCAGACTGCATTACATTTTTATCTCCTGGCAGCCAAGGAGGATAAAAACATCTGAGGTTTTCCCAGGCTCACCCTCTTTTCTAGGAAAATACGGAGGTGAAAAAGAAAATAAATAAGCCCTTTTCTTCCCCATGTGGCACTCTTTCTTACAGGTTCGTGGGGGATTTTCGTTTTTGTTTTTCTAAACTGGACCAACTGGAAGCCAGGTCATGGAACCGGGAGAAAGGCCCTTCAGGCAGACCTGTGAATGGCGAACGTTCTGTTCCATCTCATGAAGGCAATTGCTGTTGACATCTTTCACTGTAAACACTTTGAGTGACATTGATGCAATTAGGCCTTGTTAATTTAGCTCAGTTTTAGAACAGCGTGTTACCAGGGGCTGGAGTGCTGCTTCGGCTCACGTCCCGTACACCCTTGACTCCCTAGTGGTGCCGCAGATTCCCGCTTGCCTGAATTCATTGTATGGAGCGTCCAGGAAGGAGGCTTTCAGTAGGTGCCTGGACCCATGCCCAGCTTCTACCATGCACAGCTTTGGGGGGTGCCCCTTGGGGACGTCCACATGCTCCCTGACCCTCGACTGCTCCTAAGTGGGAAGTGCCTCCCTCCACACGTCAGCGGCCTGCATCCCTGTCGAGCCTGCTCCAACCAGTGGAGGTGTTTTCAGAGTCACTAATTCTCAGCAGAAAGACTCAAGCGTGCCGTTGATGGCGAGGATTAGTTGCCCATTCAGTGATGTTGACTGGACTTACTAGGTGCAAATCATTTTCTGACTATGGGAAGGTTGCAAGAATAAAACAAGCCTGATCCCCACCCTACAGGAGTGTGTATTTGAGTTGGGGCAATACATAATAAACAAACAAGTGAGATACCCAGTACAGTAGACAGCGATTAGTGCCCTTGAGGAAATCAGAGGAGATGAGGGATGCCTGAGTGCACGCATACACACACGTGTGTTTTAACATTCAAATAGGGTGGTGAGGGAAGGTCTCACAAGGGAGGTGACGTTTAAGCAAAAACCTGAAGAAATTTAAGAAAACAAGTATGTCTATAGCCAGGCAGAGTGGAAGAGTGTCCTAGGCATATGGAACAGTAAGGGTAAAATTTCAGAAGGTAAGGGGCCCAGCTTGTTCAGGGAATAGGAAGGAGCCGGAACAGAGAAGAGGATGCCCAGGAGAGGGCGGGATTGGCAAGGTGAGATCATGGGGTCGCATTTGTGGGGCCTGCGAGGATTTTGCCTCTCCTTTCAGTGATACAAGAAGCCATTATCTGGCTTGGAGCAGGAGGGACACGATCTGATTTATGTTTTTAATGGACCATCCTGGCTGTCCTGTGGGAACAAGAGGAAGCAAGGAAGCCATTTCGGGGACCACTGTAGTCATCCACGGGAGACGTGTTGCTGCCTCTGACCTGGGGGTTCAGTAGAGGAGAAAGACATCGTTATATTAGGGATACATGTTGAAGGTTGAGTCGTCAGGATGTTCTGGTGACTGGATGGGGGATGTGACAGTGATCGGAATCGCGGATGATCCCAGGTGGCTACAGTGGTGTGATTGTACTGATGTGGGCGTTGGGGGGCGGGGGGGTGTGCTGCCCACAGGGCAGGTTATAGGGAAAGGCCAGGAGTTCGGTTTGGGGCACTTTAATCTGAAATGCCTATTCTGGTCCCCCACGGACGTGGTGAGGAGGCAGACAGGTAAATTTGCAAAGCAAAGGGAAAGTAAAAAATAGTTCTTAAGTACTTCTTCTTTTCCAGGCACCGAGCTAGAAACTTTGCACATTTAAAAAACAAAATAAAGTGGGCCCAAGAGAGGCGAAGTAACTTTTCATGCTCCAAGAGCTATTGCACAACACAGCTGAGCCGCCAGCTGCTGGGCTTTGGAGCCTGTGTTCTTGCCACCGCCCCCGGTCCCCTCTCTGGGCTTTCTAGTGTGTGTGGTGGGCGGCTGGGGGCAGGGGCTGTCGCCTGACCTGGGAGGCAGGGTCTGCATTTCATTCAGCTATGACCGCGGATCATGTTCACCACAACTCCTCAGTGCCATAGTTTTATTGCACAAAAAATTGGAAATTATATCTGATTTTAGCCATCTGGGGAAGCTGTTTAAAGGCATAGCATAAATAATAGACATTCAGCCCTAGCCAGGTGGTTCAGTTGGTTGGAGATCTTTCCATACACCAAAAGGTTGTGGGATCGATCCCTGGTCGGAGCACATACAGGAGGCAACCGACTGATGTGTCTGTCTGTCTGTCTGTCTCTCTCAAAGTAAACATATTCTCGGATGAGGAATGAGTCAGTAAATAAACACAACCATAATCTGAAGCTTTTAGAAGAAAGCCATGTTAAATATTCAAGATAGTGTTATTTTAATGACAAATGCCTTCTCTGTGGGAAGCTCCTACAGCCATAGTTTAAAGCTCTGGCCCTAGAACAGGTCAAACTGTCCAGCCCTGGTGGGCCTTCGTCTGCTGTCCCTCGTGGAGCCACAGTGGGTAGGTGTGTCCCTCCAGTGGGTATTTTTAAGAACCTAATAGACTCACAGTGGACTAATTATAGCTAACATTTTT